TTAGGGTTTTTCAAAATGCTGACACGCCGAGCTCAAAAGGTTCGCCATCACTGGCCTATACCCTCCTCCTCTCCTGTTCTGCTCCTGGACACGGACCTTCTCTCTGTTCCAGGGCCTTTGCACTAACTGTCTTCACACGGAGGTTCTTTCTAATCACTCACTGCTCAGCATCAATGTCATCTCTTCAGAGTCTCTCTCCTGCCTCCTCTAAAGCAGCCCCCACTTCATGCTCAGTCACATCACCTTGCTGTAATTTCCTGTCCTCGTTAGGAGGGGGTATGTCTTCTTGTTTGCATATTTGGGTGAATGTAAATTCCATGAGAGGATTTGGTCTAATTCTCTATCCTGTTCACCCCGCCCCCAGAGCATAGTATACTCTCAATAAATATTTGTGTAAATGTTGAGCGAATGAATCAAGCAAGGAAAGCAGGGGGAGCAGGGGAGGGCACAGGGAGGGATCTGGCACACATGCCAGTCCCCGCATGCATTCCAAATAGGCTTCACTCTGCCCAGATCCTGTTACACTCACGTTTTCACAACCACACCCTCCCTTCGCCCACCTGCACACTTTGTCATAAAAATGTCATCAGAATGTAATGAGATGACTTCATAGCCCTCTGCAAAGAGAGGCCCCACCAAGGATTTTGGCCACTCTGACCCCCAAATCTAACTGTGCAGAAATGCAGAAACTCCTTCTTCCTGCCCTCGCCCAGGCTTCGCACTGAGTGGGGGCGGGCAGCAGGAGGACACTGAGGCCGGTGCCCCAAGTGCTCAGCCGGCAAACTAGCTCTGGCATTCTCTCACCAGCCACTGCTTCTCACTTGATATTTGAATCTCTTCTCAGAGAGTCATAGCCAACTACAGGGCTTATCACAAGCCAGACACTGGCCTAGAAACGCCATAGCACAGGCATTGAACCCCCCAGTAGCTTCAGGAGATGGGTCCAATAATCATTTTTACCATCAAAACAAATGAGACCCCAACTCCCACTCCTCCTCTTCCTACCCCTAGATCAACACACACACTGTGTGTGGAGTCAGCCCTCATGTCCCAGCTCCATCCACTCACCCCACACTTGCAAACAGCCAGCCCTCACCTGCCCCTTGGGGCTCAGGGTGTGCCCACCACCGGCACAGTCCCCAGATTCAGGGGAGAGGCCAGTGCAGGCCTGGAAGCCACTCAGGGCTGTTCAGCCAGGTACCCAGGTCTCGAAGAGGGCCACAGGGTCGAGATGGACACATCCCCCTGGCCTCATGGACTCCTTGCCCCGTGAGGATGGGCATGGCTGGAGGAGGGCCAAAATGGCCTCCCTAAAGGGCAGGGCCCAGAACAGGGGCTCCCCTTTGCTGGGTGGAAGGGCCGTATGCCCTAAGAACTCGGCTCTGTGGCCCGGCGTTGGGGAGAGGCAGGCAGGCTCTTGGTCATGCCCAAGTACATTCCATTTTTCACGGCTCCACAGGCGGCAAAGTGTAGCGATCCTGCTCCCCTCAGAAAATCCAGAGCCCTAAGCAAGCAGGATCTTTCCAGGCACACGTATGAAGGGTGGCGGGGCCCTCACACCTTCCTTGGTGCCTCCTACACACTGCTTTGGGCCCTCACTGCCCAAGGTGCTCTCATCCTGGGGAGAAGGGAGACAGCCAGCAGGAGGGGTGGAGAGATCATTCTATTGAACTGGAGGCTCTGGGTCTAGGCACTGCAGAAAGACGCCAAAGGAAGACCAGCCAAGCCCCAACTCCTCATCTGAGGGCAGCGGGCCTGTGTGACAGGCACAGTGGGCCCTCCCGGTTCACATATCCCCACCATCCATCACCACCCAGCCCCACGCAGGGGTCTGAGCCCCGGGGCCTCTCTCTCCGTGGCCACCTCTGTCCTGGATCTCCAGCTGTTCCCTCCCTTTACTGTGAGGCCCTGCCTCGGCTCAGATGTCACCTCCTCACAACAGCCTTCCCTGAGCGGCCGTCAGGACGAAGGGACCCTCCCACAGACTGGCTCACCCTAGACCCCAGCCAACATCGTTTTCGTTTTGTTGTTGTTCATCCTCACCCGAGGATATTTGTTCCATTGATTTTTTTAGAGAGAGTGGAAGGGAGGGGGAGAGACCGAGAGAGAGAAACATGCATGTGAGATTGGTTGCCTCCTGCATGTGCCCCAATCGGGGGCTGGGATTGAGCCTGAAACCGAGGTACGTGCCCTTAACCTGAATCAAACTGAGGCCCTTCAGTCCGAGGGCCAGTACTCTATCCACTGAGCCAAACGAGATAGGGCCCCAGCTACCACTTAGATGTCATCCTTTACCTGCCCCTAAAGTGCCATCACCTCAAGGACAGACAGACAGACAGTGCTGCACCCTCATTAAGCCAGGACCTGTCATGCAGCCAAGCCTCCAAGGAAACATGAATGAATGAATGAATGAATGAACGAATGAACGAACAAACGAACGAATGAATGGTGAGAGACTGAACAAACAAACAAGAAATTCCAGACACCCTGGGAGGGGCCCTCTGGGGTGGGGGTTTTCCCAGGCAAAGCTAAACTCAATTCCAGGAGGAAGAGGTGTGACAGCTATCGCCCATTCTGAATGGTGGGCACGTGGCGCAGCCCTGTGCCCCAGAAGGACGTCCTGACATCCCCACAACTCCACGGAGGGGATCCCCGAGTCCAGGTGATCGGGTCAGCCCATTAACAACCATTTATTAAGCTCGACTCCGTGACAGGCCACTTCCTTGGTGCAGTTATGGTGAGCGAGTGGACTGGGGGAGAGGGATGGGTTAGAGTCCGGCCCAGACTCAGACACCCAAACTGGGGAGAAGGCAGGAGGGCAGCAAACAGCCAGGGATGAGGGCAGCACTCCTGCCTTAGCCACAGACCCAGGCAGGCCCCGGGCTCCAGATAACACAGGCACATGGGTCAGAGGGCAGCCCTTCCCCATGCAGCATCCAATCACACGTCACCCAGAGCCCCTCCACTCTCACTTCCTATCCCCACCCACTGATGAGCCCTTCCCCACCCACTCAGCCAGGTTAAACCAGGACAAGCCAGAGGGCACCTCCTTCCAAGGGCTGCCTCCACAGGCTCACACCCAAAAGCTGCCCCCACCTGGGGTCAGGGCCACTCTCATGCCCACTCTGACTTGGCTTCCACAGCCATTTTTCTTCATCCCTGAAACCCTTCCAGCCCTTCTCCATCCAGGCTCGGCCACTCCTTTCTGACAACTAGGCTGTGGCCCCATGTCCTCCCTTCTGGTCACCTTGTCACGGCCACATGAGGGAATTGGGATGGAGCGCTTAAGCTCTATTTCCAAACATGGCCAGAAGAAGAAAGGAAGAAGTGCCCTTTACATCATTTTTTTTTTTAAAGACACTTCTTTGGGTGCAGATAACATAACACAGTGATGTTAATTCTAAACAATGTTTTTAATTTTTAGTCCAGTGGTCATCCATCCAGTAGTCATAATAGCTGCTTTCTTGTTATTTTTGCTAACAGTTGTGTGTGTGGGGGCGGGAGGGGAGCAGAGGGGGAGGCCACAAGATTGCTTAGGCCCAGAGTTTGCGCTGTTTTAACATCCCAAAGCTTGAGACATAGATGTGCAAGGCAGTTCCTCTGGCATGGCAGCTCCGGTTCCATTTGAAAGTGGCTCCACGTATTGGGGTTTTTTTTACAACTCCAAAGCCCACCTTACTACACCCCCCAACCCCTATAGCAGGCTAGCAAAACAGTAAGGACAGCAAGGAGACGTGACATGCATGGAGCAGATATGAACAAAACACCACAGCAAGAGAGGGCAGGGCAACTGTTCCCAGGCCCAACAGGAAAACTCCTTCCTCGATAGTCAGAAATGAAAAGGGAAACAGGAGAGCACACAGGGAGCGAGGAGGAGCTAGAGTTTCTTTATTATGTGGTGATGAGAACTGCCTTTTTCTTGCCCAGGGAGATGTTGACTAATATCCATTCAAACACAACCATATCTTCACCTCAGATGATGCATTTGGTGGACGCCTGTGCACAAGCTAAACTAAAACATATCACAGGGATCCCGACAAATTTGCACCAGCCCTCATGAAAACGAGTCATCTTTCCTCTTTCTCTTTCTTATGTTGTCATGACAAGAAGTCTAGATCATTAAGTGACTAAGGTGTTAGCTGACGCTACTGTAGCCATCATGTTGCAATATAGAAATGTATTGAACCAATTGGTGGTACACCTCAAACTTATACAATGTTGTATGTCAATTATATTCCTATTTTAAACAAGAAAAGAAACCTTGAATATATCCATGACCTAGAGATTGCAGTGATGGTCAAAGTAGAGCAAGAGCCGGCTGGTGTTGCTCAGTGGTTAAGCGTCGAACTATGAACCAGGAGGTCACAGTTTGAATCCCAGTCACGGCACATGCCTGGGTTGCAGGCTTGATCCCCAGTAGGGGGTGTGCAAGAGGCAGCCGATCAATGATTCTCTCTCATCATTGATGTTTCTATCTCTCTCTCCCTCTCCCTTCCTCTCTGAAATCAATAGAATATATTTTTTAAAAAACACAATAGTTAAAAAAAAAAAAAATCTCTCCCTGTGAATGCTGAGAGCCACTGAAAGCTACAGTCCAGAGTGGGGCTCATGAGAGAGACGGGCTGGAGGCAGGCTGGACTTTCAAGGGTATCACAGACCCACATTCTAGTCTGGAGCCCCACAGCAGCTGGTTGTGTCTTCAGCCTCTCCTGGCCCTCTCCCGCCCCTTCCATCCCGCCCCCCCTCATTGACCATGGGGAGTTTCTGCTAATCAAACACCCTCTGGATTGTGAGGTTATGCCAGGGTGGGGAGCAAATCCCTTTCATCTTTGCACACACATACCCCCCACCCCCCATGCACAGAAGTGGCTGCATAAATGCATGCTTGACTCCTGTTTCTGAGTGTCAACCCGCCTCCCTCACAGCTGTGCTGGGGTTGGATTCATCCAAGGGAACAGAAAAGAAGGGCAGTGCCAGCCAGCCAGCCCTGCGGCCTTTACCTCACAAGGTTGGCACAGGGCCCGGGCCACCGGCAGCTCTGGTACACGCGCTGGACCACTGTCTCCGAGCCGTTCTGCACCTGGCAGGACACCGTCCGTGTTACCGTGTGATGGCACCAGTGCCTGTGGGGAGAACAACAGTCACGTCAGCACTGACTGTTCCTGAGGTGCCAGCTTCTGGTCAAAAGTCCCCTCCACAAGCCTGGGGGCTCGTCCTCTTGGGTACAGGGCACACTGAGACGGAGACCCTCTGTTCGGGTCTAAGAGGAAGGAAGAATACCACCCCTTTTGGCTACCAAACCCTGGCATCATCAGAGTCATCCAACACTCCATGTGGAATCAGTGAAAAAAGCTGTACCCCTGCCTGCCCGCCCGGGAAACAGACGAGGAGATGATGACAACCTACAGGAACACGGGTCATAGGTACAGCCACACCATGAGGAAGGGAGCTCTGGTAACAAAGCAGGGCACCCAGCCCAAGTTTAAGAAACCTGAGTTCTGAAAGATACGAGTCAGCTGACCAGACACGTGGGGACGATGAGCGAGAGTGGCATTAGTAGAGGAGGGAGCAGCGTGAGCAGAGGCACCAGGTGATAGACCATGAGATGCAGCTGTCTCACAAGGACCTGGTGCAATTAGACGTGCCCAGAGGCTGTAGGGAGGGGAGGAGTCGAGAGAAAGAAAGGCATGGCACCTACCAGAACAGACGTGGGTCTGAGCATGAGGCCAGCGGGAAGCCGCTGAAGGACTCTGCGCAGGGAAATGACCCCCAGGGGTCTGAGGTTCTTGTCAGAGGGCCACAGCGGAAGGAGCCAGACAGACAGGACCCAGATCCCCATCCCTGCTGGTATCAAGAATCAGGTATGGGACTCACCTGTTTGAGACAGGTGTGGTCAGAATGCCTAAAAAGCTGATGACCTCCTGGAGAAACTGGGACCCTGGCAAGATCAATGAATTCTTGCACACTCTCCATCCTTCACTTATGCCACCAACCCTCCAAAAGGCAACGTAGCAGGAAACAAAGAAACAGAGACAACTAATGGAAAACCCCAAATACCGGGAATTTCAAATTATTTGAGAAAAAAAGCTAACACCATGAAAAAAAGGCACCAACTCAACATAGAATAAATCACACCTCAGGGCGGGGGAAAACAATTAATAAAGCAAATAAATGGAAACAAGTTTTAAAGCATAATGTCCTCAAAGAGACAAGAGAATTTTTCACTCATAAAAAATATTATGAAATAAAGAAATAGACATCTTGGAAATGAAATGTATGGCTATGAAAATAAAAGGCTCAACAATTTGTCTGAGAAACAGAATGGATACGGGTAAAGAGTAAGCTGATGAGCTGGAAATTTAAGCCATGAACTTTCCGAGGATGCACTGCAAAGGGAAAAAAAAGATAGAAAATGCGGGGGCAGAGGTGAGGGACCTAGAAGGCAGCTCTAGAAGGGAGGTCAGAGGGAACAAAGGGAAGTATATAGCTGAAGAAATAATACAGAAAGTTTCTGAGAATAAATAGAGACTTGTGGTCTTAATGTGAAAGGACCCACTGAATGCTAAGCAAGATGAACAAAAACAAACAGATTGTGGTGGGATTTCAGAACACTCCGGACGACGAGAAACTACTAAATGCTATAAAAAGAAAAACAGATTACCTACAATCAACTGAAATTAGATTTCTTATCAGCAACATTGGGATCAAGAATATAGGGACACAAGTACTTCAAAGCTCCTAGAGGAAATACAGTGTGGCCTTGACTTATGAGTTTAATTCGTTCTAACTCAAATTACTCATATGTCAAATCAACAGTGAACAAGTGAGACACGTGATGCTGGGCTGATGTTGTGGCGTTCACTGTGACGTTCGCTGCGCCAACTAGCGGTGGGGTATCTGAAGCTGGCTCGTAACCCGAATTTTAGCTCGCAACTCAAAGCAAAAAGTCAGCCGAGAGATGGCTCGTATCTCGAAAACCTCGTTAGTCGGGACACTCGTAAGTCAAGGCCCCACTGTACTTAAAACCAGAATTCTATACCCAGGCAAACTCTCCTGCAAAGGAAACGGTGAGATAAAGACATTGTTAGGTGCACAAGAAATCAGAAAGTTACCAGTCACCTTTTCTGAAAGAATTACTAAAGGATGTATTGCAGCAAAATAAAATAAAGGGCATAAGATGAACATATGAAATGTGAGAAGCAATTATGAACAAAGAAACAATAATAAGACTTAATAACAGCCTAGATCTAAAATCCAAGATGATGCAATATGGAAGATGGCAGAGAGGAGGCAGAAGGAAGCAAACGTTGCTGAGATTTTTGTCTTGTGTAAAGGAAAGGCTATAGAAGCTGTGCAACTTTCAGTGTAGTAGAAAAGTATACAATTAAACATATTCTTGAATTTGAAGATAAATACTAGCAAGGCAAGAAAGAGGACACAAAACTGACCAACCACACAAAAAAGTAAAACAGAAAATTCTATTAGCCCAACAAAATGCTGAGAAAGTAGCTACAGAAAATACAGCAATTAGAAGGCAGTGTAAGTAGAAAGGAAAAGAAAGGTACTAAGAAAGATGCAAACAGAAATTAATGAAATAGATTACTTTAAAAAGTGAATCAACAAAACCAAAAACAGGTATTAAAGAAATTCAAATAGGCAATTCTTAATGATAAACAAAGGGCATAGACATTAAGAACAAGAAAAAAAAACTCCAAAAAGTGATTAGAAATTATAAGTAAACTAGAAGCCCGATGTATGGAATTCATGAAAGAGTAGGCCTTCCTTCCCCCGGCTGCTGGCACCTGGACCAGGTATTGCCTCGCAGAGGGAGGCCCCACCCACCGCAGCTGACTGGTCAGTGGCTTGGGCCTCCCTCTTTGGGGCAATCTTGGAGCCCCCCGATTGATTGCCCTGCCGGCCAGTGGCCTGGGCCTCCCTCTGCAGGGCAATCATGGGTCGATGGCCGGCCCCCAACCAATCACATTGCACCCGCCTTGGCTGGCCTGGCACCAGTGGGTATCATAGCATGGTCCCAGATGGTCATCCCGATGTTTAGCCATTCGGTCGAATTGCATATTACACTTTTATTATATAGGATATTATGTATGATCTTACAGCAAAACTTGACAATTTTCTATGAAAATATATACTACCAATATTGGCACAGTCAAAAATACCAGAGAAGAAAATGAGAAAGTAGACAAAAGTCGACCCCTCTCCCCAAAGGCACCAGGAGACGTCATTCAAAACCTGGTTCCACCACCAACCTTCTGTGTGACTTGAGCAAAGTTGATAAGCCCTCCCTGAGCCTCAGTTCAATGAAAAATGCTACCTTTCAAGGTGTTGTGAGTTCTCGACAAGCACATCCAGGGTAGTGGTATGTAAACCGTGCCTCACTACAAACCGAAAGGTATTGATTAGCTGGCTCCTGAAACCCACCATGTTTATAAGAGCCTAAGGCTTGTCTTTCCTATTTTGCAGCGGGGAAAAGAAGTACTGGGAGGTTAAACCTCATTGCCCACAGCTGAAACCGGAGCCTGAGCTGGGAAGGGGACCCAGCCTACCTGCCCAGGGGACCAGCACCTACAAACCTAGACTCCTGCCTCTGCCTGTTACTCAGAGAAACTGGGTCTGGAACATGTATGAGACATCACAGGCCGGGGCCCTTCCTTCATTTCTTCCAGGGAACATCAGCCCCATCTCAGTGTGAGTCTCTTCAGGATGAACCATGATCCAATCCAAGGACAGCACTCCACCCCCAAGACCTGCCCCCAGCGGTCTGGAACAGACTGTCCAGCCATCTCTGAATCACACTGGGTCAGGGCTTTGTATAGAGAAATGAGCTGTGAATTCTAAAACATTTTCAAATGCCACGATTCATCATCTCCAGACATTTGATCTTTTAATGGGCTGTAAATGGCTTCCCAACTCAAAACCTGGCCAAAAACAACCAAGAAGGCAGGCAGAGACAAGGAAAGAAGGCTCTGGGGCTTTCGGATGAAATTCAAAACCCTGTTCATCTGCAGACACCTGAGGCTCTGGGAAATCTGGCTGCCGCTTAGGACCCCCGTAGCCTGAGCATTGTGTGTATGTCTTCCGTTTGGGGGGTGACAACATGCCACCGTCCATGCCCACCCCACACCCGTCAGTGGTAGGTGACAGGGTTGTACGGGCTACAGTTCACTCCACCCAGAGGCCAGTTTGACAGGAGATGTCCATCCCTTTTATGACCCTCCTGGAAGGATGGTCCAGGAGCACAGAATTTGAGAGTGACAGAGCTGGTCCTTGGCTGCCTAGGCCGTGAGGGTGCCCTCCTCAGCAGCCTCATCTTTGGGCATCATTTCAGCAACATCTCTTTGTCATCTCCCCTCACCTTCTCCAGCTGAGCTCTCATGGAGGGTCCAGGATGGGAAACCCACTCCCAGCCTTGGAGACAGATCTGCTCCCTGCCAGGTCCCTCCCTTATGAGAGGAGGCCCACTCCCAGATGGGAGGAGCGATTGACTTGGCCCTGCTCTCCAGGCTCACGGGCTCCCACAGCAGCTTTCACTAAGTGTTTGGCTCCATGGCTTGGCTGAGCCGTGAAATCCTTAATTTAGGGTCCTTTGAGAAAACAAGTGCTAAGTGGCTTCAGGAAATTATGTCACAATGGAACGGAGAGGCTTTCAGGAGGACATCCCTGGCCCATGCTCACCTCTGAACATAACCACCCAACCAGTTTCCGATGCTGCCTGCCACCCAGGGAGACGGCCCCCCTCCCCAGAGGCCTGGCTCCCCACACAGGCCCTGAGCCCCTGTTTTCCTATCTGAGCTTTGCTTTGGGGCCTGATCTTACGCTTCCCTTCCAGGACCCTGTGCTCTGAGCCTAAACCAGGCCCCAGGGTTTGACAGTGCCCGCCCTCTCCATGAGGACCACCCAGTCTGCCCCATTCCCTGTCCCACCCCGGGAGTCACCTCAATGCTTCCTCTCATATGTGCTCCACTTGCTGGACAGGGGTCACACTTCATCATAACTCAAGTTACACCATTTCACTCTGGTCAGTGCTGAGCCCATCACTATCCAACCCTACTTCGCTCCACCTTGGTGACCAGCACCATTAAGCCCCAGGTCCCCTAACCCAGAA